AGATAAAGATGGCCTTGGAAGATATACATAAAACAGCTTTTAGGTGCCCTGGGCATGTGGGGGCAAATGAATATTTGGTCATGCCTTTCGGGCTCAAGAATGTTGGTGCAACCTACCAAAGGGCGATGAATGCCATCTTTTATGATCTGATTGGCCATAATATGGAGGTGTATATTGATGACATCGTGGTGAAATCCAAGACTGAAGAACAACATCTGATAGACCTCAGGCAGGCATTAACAAGAATGAGGGTCCACAAATTGAAGATGAATCCAAAGAAGTGTGCGTTTGGAGTAAGAGCGGGCAATTTCTTGGGATTCCTAGTTCATCAAAGAGGGGTAGAAGTGGACAAGAATAAAGCTCGGGCAATAATGGAGTCGCCTTCACCCACCAACAAAGTGCAACTTCAGAGACTGATGGGCAAAATTAATTTCTTAAGAAGATTCATTGCCAACCTAGCGGGCAAGATCCAGCCGCTGACTCCTTTATTAAGACTGAAGGATAAGGAGAATTTCGAGTGGGAACCACCGCACCAAGAGGCTTTTGATAATATCAAAGCTTATTTGACTTCTCCGCCAGTATTGGTACCACCTCAGAGGGGAAAACCCTTAAAGCTATATATCTCCGCTTCAGATAAATCAATTGGAAGTTTGCTAGCTCAGAATAATGAAGGCGGGAAAGAGCAGGCAGTGTACTACCTCAGTAGAATTCTGACTGAGGTAGAAACAAGGTATTCCCCAGTAGAGAGATTGTGCTTTGCTCTGTATTTTACTGCCAATAAGCTGAGGCATTACATGTTACCTTGTCACGTGCACATCATCGCCAAGACAGATGTGATAAAGTACATGTTGTCAAAGCCAATGTTAACAGGAAGGATTGAGAAGTGGATTCTAGCATTATCAGAATTCAGCTTCCAATACGTTCCCCAAAGGGCAGTAAAAGGCCAAGCAATTGCTGACTTCTTGGCGGAGCATCAAGAATCTCGAGATGAGATAATCAATATACCAGGAACCCTGGAAGTTACAAATGTCTGGATCCCGCCAGGCAAAGGGATCTCGGGCAAAGAGGAGTGGATCCAGCAGGAGATAAGAAGAGTGGCTGGTTTGTGGATTACTCCTTGGAAGCTGTATTTCGATGGTTCTTATACTCAAAAGGCTTCAGGAGCTGGGATTGTGATTATAAACCCTCAAGGGATTTATCATTATTACTCATTTCTCTTGGATTATCAAGGGAATACCAACAATCGGGCAGAGTATAAGGCCTTAATAATTGGTTTTGAAATCTTGATGGATCTGGGGGCAATGGAAGTTGAGGTGTTTGGTGATTCAGAATTGGTAATAAACCAGCTAAATGGGGAGTTCAAGTGCAGACATATCACCATGGCCGGATATTATTTGGCAACCACACAATTGCTGAGTTATTGGGATTTTGAGATATCGGTGAGTCATGTTCCTAGGGGAGCCAACCTAGCAGCTAATGAGATGGCGCAATTGGCCTCAGGCATGCCAATCCAGGAAAGAAGATATGGGTTGGATGTCGAGATTCAAAGGAGAAATCTTCCTTCTATCCTGGAAAGGGGATTCACCCTGGATGTAGGTTCAGGAGATTGAGATAGAAGATTGGAGATCGCCCATCATTTGAAAGATTCCTCTTCACCTACCAGCAAGAAGAACCGACAGCAAGCAACTAAGTATGTCTTATGGGCGAAAGACCTACTAAGGAAGACTCCAGACGGGTTATTATTGAAATGCTTAGGCCAAGAGGAATCCATGAGAGTGATGGCCGAAGTACATGAAGGAGTATGTGGAGCACATCAGGCAGGAACAAAGATGAGGTGATTACTTAGGCGATATGGTTATTTTTGGCCCGACATGGAAAAAGATTGCAAGTCCTATGCCCGAGGGTGTGAGGAATGTCAAAGGCATGGTCCTCTCCAACATGTACCCTATGTGCCTTTAAATCCAGTAGTCAAGCCTTGGCCCTTTAGAGGATGGGCAATGGACTTCATCGGGCAGATTTACTCGGCTTCTAGCAAGGGGCATACTTTCATCATTGTAGCAACAGATTACTTTACCAAATGGGTAGAGGCCTCGGCTGTAAAATCCATAACCTCAGCTGCGGTCAAAAAATTTATTGAGACCAAGATTCTGCATAGATTTGGGGTGCCCGAAACCATTGTGACGGATCGAGGGCCATCTTTTATTTCAAAGGAAGTTGAAGAATTTGCAAGCAAATACAAAATAAAGATGATCCAATCCAGTCCTTACTACCCGCAGTCAAATGGCCAGGCAGAATCCAACAACAAGATTTTGGTAAACATTATTAAAAGAATGGTGATTGAGAGTCCGGAAAAGTGGCATGAAAGGCTGGGAAATACTTTTTGGGCATACAGAACTTCCAAGAGGGCAGGGACAGGGACAACTCCTTATGCTCTAACTTTTGGGCAAGATGCAGTGCTTCCCATGGAGATCAACGTAAGTTCTGTCAGAATTCAAAATCAGTTTGGGTTACACATCGAAGCCATGTGTTAAGGGATTGAAGACTTAGATATAGCCCGAATTGAAGCCTTGAACCAGATTCAGGAAGGGAAGAGAGCTGTTGCCCGAGCATATAACAAGAGGGTGAAAGCAAAATCCTTTAAAGAAGGGATTTGGTGTGGAAGACAGTCCTTCCTCTAGGAGCCCAGCTTAGGGGCTTTGGAAAGTGGAGCCCGATATGGGAAGGTCCTTTTATAATTAGTCAAGTATTAAACAAAGGGGGATACTACTTGGCGGACCTCGAAGAGAATTGGCAGAAACATCCCATTAATGTTAAATTCTTGAAAAAGTATTGTCCTGCATTATGGGATGTTAGGGATTGTTACATTTAGGAGGATGCAAAGTAAAGCAGGTGTCGGGATGCTAAAAGAGCAGTGTATATTCATCAATCATTCAAGAAGACAGAAAGACACAAGATTGTTAAGATAATGTTTATTTCATTTTCAACAAACTGATGAAATTTACAATGAATTCAATTCAATTCCGATGTGCTACGTACGACTCCTTCCAGGTGCAATAGCGTTTCAGCTGGTTTCTGATATCTTCATGGATAGAATCCAATCAGGTGATCGGGTTGTGCGGCCAAGGCGCGCCTGGTAGAGGATCCTCAGACAGAGTCGTCACCATGTATGATGGTGAAGCCTGACTTATCATGACGACGAGCGGGAAGGCAAGTCTTCATGAGGGAACCGCCTGACCAAGGGTGTTGGAGATTGTGTTTTTCTGATGAAAATTCTTTTTCTCACGAAAAGGGAGTTTTAGGAAAACCCACTTGAATCTTGAAGAACTCATATCTCAGTATTGATTGAAGCAAAGGCTGGAGGAGGTTTGTTGGCTGAGCAAAAAGCAAAATCAAGCCTGAATTTATAGAAACCTTAGAGGGTAACCCAAAGGTCATGAGAAGAGCAAGAAACGCATGGTCGTAGGCCTCCTGTCTAGAAAAACACAAGTTCCAAGAGCGGATATACAAGCATGCGGATATTCAATCAACATTGGCGCCTGGAATTCCAGTCTGAATATTGATTGAATGGGGCACTGTTTGGATTAAAACTTAAACTTTGGGCTTAGAAGGGAGTTGGCCCAAATAGAGAAGGAAAAGCCCGAAGCTCGGCCCAAACCCAGAAAGCAGAGAAGGCCTTTTCCGACTAGATGCAGATCATTTGCACCACTTGCTCACCTACCTAAAGGCCAAGTGGTATAGACCAGCCAGCTAATCAGCCCAAAAAGTACTTTATAATGGCAGGGCAAGTAAATAGCTGACGAGTCACTATCCTTCAAACTGCATTCGAGCAAGATTATTGCTACAGGAGGCCAAGCCAAGGTGTCTATAAAAGGAGAAAGAGAGGTCAGAATCAAAGACACTCAAACAAACAAATACAAGCACAAACTCTGCTCAAGCCAGATTTGCCTTCAAAACGAAACTGTAGTCAGCCCAAGCCTTCATCCATTTCGAGATAAACCTTTTGTAATAGCTCTGCTACCCTGTTCAACTCTTGCTGTAATATCGATTTCTTTTGTAAACTCACCTCCCAGCCTTTTTTCTAAACCTCTTGATAAACTACAAAGATAGGAAGTTGCAAGACGATCAGCCTTGCCCGACCCTCTTTGTTTTTGTCTTTTCATTCATTAGCCTAGCAATATGTTGTATACTGCAAGTCGTATCCAAGTTATTTCTAGTAATATGGCTATTAAAAGATTATCTCAGCACTTGAATCCGATTTGAATATGCCTTAACAGTTCAAGCCAGATCTATGTTCTAAGCCTTCGGGCATATAAGATTTGATCACTCTAAAAAGTCCTTGGCCTCAAGGCATACAAAAGAACCTAATGTGGACTTAACCCATCCACTACAAGCTTTGATAACAAGAAGTCCGAAGTTACTTGGGGCGCAAGTAATCGACCTGTCACTTAGTTTTATTGCTGTTATATTATGATTACCATATAACGTTCGGGGACAGGATGAATTCTGATGGGAAGCCTCAAGGCCTATTCAAGGCCCCACAAAGGCACCTATTTGGATTCATCCTATTTCTCGGGAAAGAACATTGAGTATAGAAGGGGTTCTGATGGGAAGCCTCAAGGCCTATTCAAGGCCCCACAAAGGCACCTATTTGGATTCATTCTGCTCTTTGAGCTCAGGTAATCAGAAGTATGATGGTTATAAGACCCATAACCAAGAAAAGGAACCTTATGTGTTCGAGTACTAAGTTAGTTATTAATGGGAAGCCTCAAGGCCTACACCTAAGGCCCCACAAATGCACCTGTCAATAACTAACATAGTCTCTCGAATATATATATATATATATATAATTAAACTCAAACATCCGTTCTACATCTGCCATGCTGAAGATGGCAGTGGCACGCTCGAGCACTTAAAGGTTAATCTTGATTGTGAGCCTCAAAGCCTACACCTAAGGCCTCACGAAGGCACCTTTCAAAGTTAACTTTGTCCTTCTCTTTCAGCCTTGCCCGACAAGCTCGCCAGTAAAGCAGGAGCCCGACAGAAAGCATCAACGGACGCCAACCTCTTGGGGAGCTGTGTGCTCGTCGGACAGGAAGCATCCCCCACGGAAATTCCTGCCACGAACAATAGCAATGCTTTTTTAAATGATGACGGTAATATTGTTTGTCAGACTTAATGAAGTGTACTGTAATTGTAAACAGGGAACAATCTGCATTCACTTAAATTACTTGACAGTACTTCTTTGATTATTACATTGCAATGCTTTGTCACAGGGGGACCATGTTGCTCTATTGTCTGCTTTTGCAGAAATGGGACTTAAGTTGCGCCTAGATATTCCAGAGCAGACAATGGAAGTAACAAGTGTATTATTCCGAAGTACAACACCTGCCAAAGAGTCTCATGTAAGTATGCATTAATGTGTATGTTTATCCACTTAGGACTGGTTAGGTTGGTTCTATTTTTCCAACGACAGAAGTCCTATTCTATTCAGTTTGTCTTCCTATCCTATTTGTTTAGTACCAATATAAAAAAATCCTGTTCAGTTTCTTATTAGCTTATGATCTTCCTTAGGAAACAATGAAATCTTTGGCGGATCAAAGAGCAAAAAACATGAAGGTTATACAGGAACAAGATGCAACTTAACCAGAAGGAGGCTAAACGCTTTAATCCTGTAAGTTCATGCATAATGTCCTCCTACCGCAGTGCTTCTCTGCTACGTTTATTGACTAATTTCATCTATATGCTAAAGTAAGAATTCCTTTAACAGGTAGATGCATTCCCTGGTGATATTGTAATCTTTTCATGAGTTCTCAATCTTCTCAGAGGTCTGTATACGGAGTTTTTCTCTGCTGTTTGTGTGTTAAATAATTATAACTTTTTAATTTTGCATTTGACTTGGACGTAGGGCTTTCTTCCACAATGAATGTCCGGATTGTATATCAAGAGATCATGAGACCATTTGCTGAATCCGTTCTATGAGGGTAAGTGTATGCTGAATAGTGTGTTGCATTGGTTTGTTGTCATATCTGGTTAGTGCCTTCGCCCATGAGCGGTAGGTCTCGGGTTCGAGACTTGGGAGCAGTCTCTCCATAAATGGGGGTAAGGCTAGCCGACATTCACCTCTCCCAGACCCTGCGTAAAGCGGGAGCCTTGTGCACTGGGTACGACCTTTTATTAGTAGGGGACCAGTGGAAAATGATCACTGGGTCTATGACACACCTGCCCACTCTAATGTGGAGGCCAAGCTGAGGCAACTCCTAGTTGAGCTGGGGAATAACAATAAAATACTTGGAGTCCAGGTGTGCACTAATTTATCTGTCGATATGATGCCATGAAAATTTGAATAGTCCTTTTCCATTTATGTATATTGTTTGATAAAGCTTGACATTGTTTAATCTTTCTGCTCTCTCTTATATTCCAGTGAAAGTTTCACTTCATGACAATTGAGTTGTGTGTTCTATGAGTGCTGATATTTTCTTGTTAAAGCTTTATGTTAATAGATCAAAGAGCTAGATCGCTAGATGCCCTTGGCATAGTTTATTTATTTTTACCTCTGTTTTTGTATTGAATGAAGTACACAACAGTTGTTTCATATTATTATTACTTCTTTTGTACTTCAAAAAAATTGATTGCTTGTTTTTAAACTTGACTAGTTTTCTTTTCGAATTATAGTTTAATCAAGCTTTCATGATTTTGAATTAAGGTATGTGCCTACAAAGACGGGGAAGTTATTATTGACACTGCTGCTGGAGTGCTTGGTAGATATGATCCTCGTCCAGTTCAGCCCGACAGCCTTTTCCCAGTTTTTTCTGCTACAAAGGGTATAACGGCTGGAATGTTACATTGGCTGGCAGACACTGGGTGAGTATTAGTATGTTTCCATGTTGTCCATTCTATTTCCATGTTTCTTTTTACTGTATAAAATATGTGCCTGAGGCATTTGGGCATGTTATACGGTTTTACCTGATTTAGAATAAGCTGTCGTTTCTATTTTTGCATCTTCATAGCATGTAGCTTGTATCTCATTGTGTTAGGTAGTCTGGGATCCCATTCCATTCTGCACAACTGGGGAATCAATCTTGGTATAAAAACTTCCATAATGTGATCCATACGGAGAAATAATTGATATTTTAGGCATTTCCTACATGGCTTCAGGGGTAGTTTGACAAAATAACTGCCATGTATGTTACTTTTAACTATAATGACTTGACGAGGGATTTATAATGTCTCTTTATGCATTATGTTGGTAAGTACGGTAAATTGTTTTAACTTTTCCGCCCTTTCAGAAAATTGAACCTCAAGGAAGATGTAGCAAATATATGGCCAGAATTTGGATCATTTGGAAAACATAACATAAAGGTATATACTTTGTGATTCAATTTCTGATATTCTTAATCCAATATCCACTAAAGCTATAAGCTTTGTTTGTACTTTCCTTTGATTTTTAGGTCCACCGTGTCCTTAACCATACCTCTGGACTGCACAATGCTGTGGCAGACCTCATAGAAAACCCTTTGCTTATCTCAGACTGGGAGGAGTGTTTAAACCGCGTTGCCCTTTCAGAACCTGAGACTGAACCTGGCCAGGAGCAGCTGTATCACTACCTAACTTTTGGTTGGATATGCGGTGGAATCATTGAGGTACAGTTGCCTACTATTCAGAATAATTTTTAACATCTATTATTTTCATTACTTTTTAGTATCTATCGGAATCATTGTTTGTATGAACGTGAATCTCATGTTCAATGCTTGCTTTGACCATTTTTCTAATTATCTGTTCGAATGGAACAGCATGCATGGAAGAGGAAATTGAAGGAGATTCTTGAAGAAGCATTTGTTCGTTCCCTCCAAATAGAAGGGGAGTTTTATATCGGAATACCTCCAGGCAAGTATACTATGTTTTTGCTTCATTAAACCCATGGAATACCTGTCATGACTCTGCAATTGCACTTCTTTCTTTGAGTTGATATACTATTTTGCTTTCTGTTGCTTTCAGTCAATATGAAAGTATTGCTTCGGTAATTTATCAGAATGTATTCTGGTAATCGTGAACCTGGGATTTCATTTTTTAATTACCATGCCTTTTTGCTCTTCTCCTAGGTGTGGAATCTCGACTTGCAACCCTTACACCCGATACAGAAGACCTGAAGAAGCTTTCAGGGATTAGGGGTCGTCCTGATATGCCCTCCACTTTCCAGCCAGAGCAATTCGCAACTACGTTGCCCGTTCTATTTATCATGCTAAACGTTCGTCGTGCCATGATACCTGCAGCTAATGGACATTTCTCAGCCCGTGCGCTTGCACGTTACTATGCAGCCTTAGCTGATGGCGGTGTTGTTCCACCGCCTCACTTCTCTTCCTCTAAGCCATCTCATGGTAGCCACCCTCACATTCCCAAATTTCCTGCCCAACCGTCACCAAAACAGCAGAAAGGTAACAGAAGCAAGAAGATAGCTGCTGCTTTTAGGAATATGAGAACTAGTAAGTATGAGAAGACTCCACAAGATAGCAAGGACCAGGACGTTGGTAGTCACAGTAGAAACACAAGCAGCGACAGTAACACTTGCAGCGCAAGTGACAACGTGTTGGATGAGATCGTTGTGAATCCTAATCCTCAAAAGGACGGCGCTAAGATATTTAGCAACCCCAGAATTCATGATGCTTTCATGGGTGTCGGCGAATATGCACACTTGGTTAAACCAGATGGGAAATTTGGACTGGGATTTAAGAGGTATTATTCCCAGGACGGGTCCCTTATTGGCTTTGGCCACTCAGGAATGGGTGGCTCAACTGCTTTCTGTGACATAAAAAAATAGGCTCTCCATTGCTGTAACGTTGAATAAAATGGTGTTTGGTGCAGAGACCGGAAAGATAGTCCACTTCATTTGTTCAGAGTTAAATGTTCCGGTGCCGACGGATTATTTGAGATTCGCAGAAACGGCACCTAGTGATGGAAAACCTCTGATTAATTGAGGTTGGTAATTAAGCCTTTTAACCCTTCATTATCATTACAAACTTGTACCGCAGAAGAATATGGTATTTGCCCCAGATGAATGAGTGTATATAGTTATAGTGATTTTAATTTATACAGCACATATATTAAAAGTGAAAATTTGAGCACACTTGAAATGCTTAGGGTATTGGGTTTCAACCCCATGTGTCTCGGGATTGAAACTCTCTCATTTCTTAAATTATTGTAATAGTTTCGAACTCTCTCTCTCATCTTGACAATAAAAAATTCAGATAAAAAATTTCCCTTGTCCATTGATTTCAGCATATTAATACACTCGACTTGAAATTACGGCACAATGAGAAAATCTGTCATATACAAATGTCTATCTCTATCATTTCATTGTACATTACCAGTTATGCGTAAGAATTATTTTATTTATCATGAGAATTTAGCAGCTGACTTTAGAAGTTGGCCCTACAACAATAGAGGTGGACAAATAATGTATAAAATTTGTGTACTTAAGAATCTCTCGTGTCTCGTCCAAAACCATTTAAAAGTGATCCAACATATTTCTTTCCCTTATACATTATTCTTTCCCTTGCACATTATTTCTTGTATCTCTTATCTCTCTCATAACATTTTACTTAATTGGCGACACTCAAAATTTTTATTTGTTTATAAAATTCGACGTATAACGAGAGAGATAAACATATAATTGCATACAATCTGTGACTCTTAAAAAAAATTCTTGTCCAAATTTAAAAGCTGAACGATCCAAAATATATATTTTTTTCTCCAATGCATATTATTTCTTGAATGAAGTTGCATCCACGTGAAAGATTAGATTAGGAGGAAAGTTTAAATTAGTGTGTTATAAATCCCACGTGAGATGGTGGGCAGTGCATGCATTAGACAGAGAACATTATTTAATTTAATTGGAAAAATTAAGTGAATAAATTAATGTTGCAAATACGAATATAAAACTGCAAAACGCGGTTTCTGGCATATTTATAAGTGGAAGAAAAAAATTAAGAAAGCAAATCCTCTCTGAACCTACACCATTGGAGTCTAGGGATCAAATTATTGTGGCCTTTAAAAATTGATTTCTAAGCTCCGTTGTATGTCCAGAAAGGATCTGCTTCTGACAAAAGAAAATCATCTCTACAATATCACTAAATCTGATTTTTATTTTTATTTTTTGTTTTGTTTTTGTTTTTGTTTCTGTTTCTTTAAGCTTGAGTGTTTTAAATTATCTCCAATGGTCCATTTAATAAAGAAACATTATCAGTGCCCTCCATGACTCCCTGCTTCAAGTGCTATATTATTTCCTTTTTCTGGTTTCTAGATGGCCACTAGATAACCACTATTTAGCAGATCTAAAAACATTTTTAGTGTTTTTTCAGAATTCATTTGAGTTTTTAAATTTTATTAAGGATTAATTCTAAAAATATTTTTATCAAAATCATTTTAAATCATTTTAAAAACATTTTTAAATAAACTCGTATACTATTTCATCTCAAAGTTGGAGTTAGATGTGATACCGGTACCATAGATACATAAAAATGGCTTTTTGTGTCTTTTTTCACTTTAAAAAAGAAAAAGAAAAAAGATACGGACTACGGAGGGGAAGATAATTGGCATTCATCTTTTAAATCAAAGTCCAAGCAAATATGTCAAAACTTATTTGACATGCTTGATTTTCATATCAAGTTTATTTTATTTTATTTTATTTTTGTCGAATTCATCGCAAGTATTGTAATCATATTAAACTCAAGTGTCTTTTAAAATACTACTAATTTGATTTAATCCGAATTTATTTTTCTGACCAGTAATTTATTTTCTTCCAAGTGTTGCTGATTAAACCGACCAACCCTAAAACAAATATGACAGCATTTTTTTTGTATTGCACCAGTTCCAATTAAAATTTCATATTCAATGCCAATTGCCAGCTTCTCTTAAGAATCTTAAAGACTTATCAAACAATAATTATCACAATTATCATAATTAATGTTGGAGTGGCACTCGTGTAATTCACCCAAAAAACCGGGCATTTCGTCATGACGAACACTATATAAACTGTAGTCACTTTTGAAGGAAATCACACACATTTCATATTTCTCCATATATTTTCTGCACACTTGATTAGGCTTTCTGTGCAGTGGCATGATGGGAATTACAGGAGTTTGCTCTAGATTACTTGGTGATTTGGTTCAAGCCATTGGAGGAGTCCCATCAAGTTTAACAAGCAAAGGAGCTCACATTGTTCATGAAGATCAACGTGACCAATATTCCAAATGCAAACCACAAAATATTGCAACCAAAGTTGATGAGTCCATGGCAAGGGCACTGATCACAGTGTTTGGGATGGAAACAAATGGAAGAATCAAGAAGGAAAAGGCGCGGCGTGTTGTGGAGAATCTTGGACTAATACGTAATGAGGTAGACCAGACGGGCTTCGATTTGCCGGGGGATGATCATGAAGAGGAGGTCCTTGGTGGATTGGAGGATAATGAGTTCGAGCGCAACGAGCTCCTGCGCGAAGCATTCAAGATTTTCGACGAGGATGGCAATGGATTCATAGAGGCTGTGGAGTTGAAAAGGGTTTTGGAATGCTTGGGTTTGGGGAGTGGGTGGGAGATGGGCCAGGTTGAGAAGATGGTGAAGGTTGTGGATTTGAATATGGATGGGAAGGTTGATTTTCGGGAGTTTGAGTTAATGATGGGGTAATTAAAATGTCATTAGCCTATTAATTAAGATCAAGATGCTTATCTTTTATTTTCTTCAAACAATATGTTGCCCTAATTGTAAATTCAATGGACTCATAATTTTTTTTCACCATCCAATTTTTGTTGTTTCTTCTTTTCATTTATCTAAGCTCAATCATTCAATCTCGATCAGAAATCATTTTTTCACTTAACAAAGACATGAGGTTTACGAAAAAGAAGGATATCTAATCACTGACGTTATAAGTCCTTACGTGATTAAATAATCTCTTACGATACAATTATGTAAACAAATTACGATTACGATAACATGGAGTGTGATTAACAGTGATGATAGAACACTATATAATGAATTAAAAATATTAAATTATCCATAAATCATAGTTGCAACTTTGCACCGTCCCTTTGTGCAGGCACACCCAAATAAAAGAGAGTAAATTGTCTGACATTTTGTAAATTATATTAGACAGCACTACCACATGTGGGACCAGATGCAGGAATAATAAAAACAAGTTTGTGCATGCGATCGATTTCTAACCACTGATCAAATTTGGGATCAAACGCCCAAATAATATAAACAAGGTTCATTTTTTATTAATGATCAAATGTGGATGATCGGATCATCTGCGATAAAATATCATCACAATTCATGGGTCGTAGAGGCTCAAATATAAAATTTTTGACATTAAGTTCAATGCGCGTGCAACCCTAATGTGTCTACTTTGCAAGAGATTTTTTAGTGTGATCGTCACATGAGGTAGTACACTACGTGTTCCTGTATAAATGATGGGTTATATGTGTTAAAAAGTTAATAATTTAAAACGTAAAATTTTCCATCACTAAAAACATGTGATATACCGTTCATGTTCCCGTCACAACTAAAAATTTCTCTTACTTTACTATGACGAGCATATGTGGATGGATCCAAACGTTTCAACTACAAAACGCGGTTTCTGCTTTTCATGTGAGCACTTCAAGTAAAAGCATTTTTCCTTAATTATATAACACAGTTGGCAGCATGATCTTCCTTCTTTGCAACTTCAATTATTATACAGAAACAAAAAGAAAAAAGAAACTGTTGACTTATGGAGTGTGTAAGTCGAAATCGAAAATAATTGAAAATTCTAGAATGCGCTGATGTATGAGATGCATGTGTAATGGATGGTTAAATTTGCATGTTTCGATTAAAACATTCCAATTTCTTCAATAAACTGCGACATTTTACATGAGAAATAAGAGTCTAGTACAAACTAGAAAACCATAAAAAAGAAAGAAGAAAAATACCAAGAAAAGGAGACACTTCTAAGAACTGCTTAGAGATCTGCCTAAAGCATATTATAAGACATATTCGATCTAACTGACACGGTTACGGGCATTACAATCGTTTTATTTTATGACCACATATCCGAGACACAGCTAACAGTATCGCTCATCATCCGATTACTCAGATTGCTATTCGCCATACCAGCATTTCCGAGTCCAAAGCTTGCATTCTCACCGGAGACTGCAATTCCAGCATACGGAGCATCCTCTCCATGGATGGTAATAGTCGGTGAGACGAGTGCTGCTACCCCGCGAAAATTTTGAGGGTTGAGTGGTTGCGGCGTGCCTAGATGACCTTGAAGAATTTGATTCAAATTAGAGGTCATTGAGCCCCGAGCAACCATATCTTCAGCTAGCTTCACCTAAAATGAAATCACCACTCCTTAGGGACAAAATTCCTTGACATTTTACTACTGTCACATGGAAATTCTTTAAATACACATACAAACACATGGTTTAGTACTTTTTTATCAGTTTGTTTTAACAAAATATAGTATTCGTTAATCGCTGATTGACGTGTTTTTAAAACTGTTTGTCATTGTTTCGCTACATATCCACTACTTCACTCACTTGCAAGCACAAGGCAAATCAGAGGTTCTGTTCTACAGATTTTCCACCCTCTTTAAACCCTATATATTTGCTTGTTTTAAAGATTTTTCACCGTCACGATTGCTTTGCCTAATGTTTTGACATTCCGCGCTTAAGCACTCTTTGGTGTTATTTTATACCTTGGCTCTCAAGGCTTCCACATCCGATTTCATTACTCTATTGTTTGTATCAGCGTCACGGAACTGTTGAAAAGCATCCGTTAGCTGCCTATATAAGGTTGAATTTTCTCCTCTCAGTTGTTCAACCTGAAATCAAACCATAAATCAAACTTCTGCATCAGAATAACTTCAAATATTCGATGTATAAATACACTCTAAATTTTGTTCTGGTAAAGATTCCACCAAAAATATTTGATACCTGTGACTCGAGATCCGCAAGATGTGCTTGCTTTCGTCTTCTTGATCGCCTAGCAGACTCCCTGTTCGAGACCTTCCTGCAAGTTAATGACAAAGGTAATGCAGTTTTGGATCAATTCCATATTTAAAAAAATGGAAACAGAGAAAGATAGAAAATATTAAAGGGAGGCGATTTTCCGCACACCCTTGTTCTCACTGCACACCTCTTTATTTCAGTCCATTAGCCTTCGAATATTCAATCCAAAGGGCAGAAAAAAAGGATGGTGCGCAGAAGGAGAAAAAGGTACACGGAGATTATTTCCCATATATAATACCTTCTAATGCGTTTGATGTCGAGCGGTTCTGTGCTGTCTCCACACGGACTAACTTCTATCTCGAAATCATCCTCGTCCGATTGTTCTCCGGAGGAACCACTGTAGGCTCCTCTTGCTTGGTTATCTCCTCCAATCGGTTTAGCAGCCGATGTTGGACTGCCCACTGAAAAACCATATAACAAAACTCACTAAATCACACAACAAGCAACAAATGGCGCCCGAAACACAAACACAACACGCAGAAAAAGCGATGAAAACACACATAAGCAAGTGTAAAGGTGCAGCTTGACATGTTTTTTCCGAAAGCATACCACAAATCGATGACTGGGAATCCATGGCTGCTGAGATGCAGGAGTTTTTTGGAGTGAGATTTTGAGTGCAGAGTAGGGTTTCTGTCAGTTCACTGCTTGAAAAACCATTCATTATATCCTGCATTAACGGAATATATATAAACACTTTGTAAATAACGTTCTCGCAGCTAGAAATCAACATTTAACACTTCAGTTTATATACTTGTCTTGTAATTGCTGCTAATGAGTTATTTATAAAACAATGCCGCACTTCATTTTATACACTTGTCTTATACAATATGTGTGTCGGTTTTCAGCGTCTAAATAAATTTGAGTATTAACTTAACCATAAAAAACCATTTCGTTACGAAAATAAATCCATATCTTTCCTAAAAGAAAAATCTATAGGATTTAGAATTGTGTCTGTTTCTACAACAATTGACAAGAGCCTCCCCATCATCAATGACTTGTTAAACTCGGAACCTTTAAAGCATGATGTGACTGGCTTGCTAACTGCCATACGTGTTTTGAATTAAGTATGATTAATTACCCAAGAAATAATTAATTAATTAATTAATCAACATACCATCACCTTTTTCCTAAAATAAACATAAAATTATTAAGCTAAATTCATTTTCCCAACCCCACAACGACGACGTTTTGGTCAAAATATTAAAACCATACATATAATATAACATGTCAAATTGCATCGGATGACGTGGGACTGGACCCCGGTGTCCGAAAGTCCCGTAAAGTGAGTGGCTGAGTGTGACTAACCCGATTTTGGAAACCGAAGCTGTGGTCGCCGGCGCAGACGTCGCCGAAAAATACATCCGTATCGGCGAAACCCCGGTCTCTGGCCCGAAGTTCGCCGATTTTTTCATCGCGGTGCCCTTGCGTATCGGCGGCCTCCTGACCGATCATGGGCTTCTCCAGTAAGTACTCCAGGGCCTCGCCAAGACAAACCTCCGACGGGCTCCGCTTCAATTCGAAGGGGGACGAGGCTGTTTGGGAGTGTACCTCCACGTGGAAACGGGGCTTTTGCTCCATTTGGGATCTCCGTGCTTCCTCCGGGGAGATTAGCAGAGAGAGAGGGAGGGAGAGAGGGAGGGAGAGGGAGGGAATACGAGCAAAGGGAGTGGATATTAATAGCAAAATGCGGTGTTGAAAAGTACGTAAAGAAAAAGTGGGCGGCACATGAAGTTAAAAGTTTTATGTTGCATCAGATTACGGAAATGCCCTTGTGAATTGTACGAATGGCGCGAGATGTGGGTTTTCTGGTAATTAAACATGACGGGATCTTCGTGTACAAGTAATGCAATATATTTTATTTATTTTGTGAAGATCCGACCGTTGAATCCTAGAATCTAGAAGAATCATGATGCTGACACGAAACAAGTTGATCGTGTGGTGGGCCACCTGAATCTGGTAGGGTTTTGGATTCTCCCCTGCCGCTTTTCCCTTTCCTGCCTCCCTTTCTTTTTCTTCTCTCTCTTTCAATGTATATAGGAGGTAATCCTGAGCGTCTAAATAGAATGAGAGGGAAGGGGAGATAATTCAGATCCTCTTTATGTTTGATTAGGTAATTATTTAGTTATGTTTGATTATTTTTTTAACGTGTAATTTGAACTTGAGATTTCTTCAAATATTTATACTAAGAGTTAGTTCAGAACATTTTACAATTTTAATATATTACGTTGTCATATTGCTCAAAATTATTGTTTATTCAAAATCCTATTTATGTTTTCAAATTACTTCAAGTTATTATTTATGTGCAATCATGTTTTAAGATATCGACTTAATCAATAAAGTTTGTTAAAATAGCATACCAAAACACAATAACCTGTTAAATTCTAAAATAAGATTATCAATATGGTTGTGTCGACACAAACATGAAATGATTAATCAATCTGAACGCACATGTACTAAATGTGTTACATGATTAAATAGTTTAATATTCATAAGTACGAAATGACATGTATAATAAAATATTTACATCAAATACTATTGTCTGGGTGGAAATTTAATGATGGGCTTTGTGAGGATGGAGGTCCAAGAATACATAGGTAAAGAGGAAACTGGGCTCGGATAAGTCTATAGGCCCGAGAACAATTTTAAAAAAAACAAACCATTTTAGCAAAGGCATAGGCCACATGCCTATGTTATAAGTGATGGGCGATTGAGAGCATTTCATCCCCAGCAAAAAGCACTTTTCAGGGGCAT